TCATTCCCGGCATAGTAAATCATATGGTTGTCTGATTCAAAATGGCCAAAACCAGTCCATTTCAGCTCACTAATGCCGAGGATATCAATCTTTATGCATTCCATTTCTGTTTTACGAACGTGATAAGGAGCCGTAGTGATACTGCCTCAGAAACCCAAGGAAGTGTCACTATTTGTCAGGTCCGACTTGAGGGCACATAACAACAAGACGACAGAGTAGAAATGACTCATAGGATTTCCTAGGCAGTAATCTTTCTGAGAAGAGATCGCCCGGTCTTTTTTCCCATGAAGCCACTGGCTGGGTATGAACCACCAACTTTTTGTCTAGCAACCAAGTGCTTAACCATTGCACCACCAGGGCTCCTTATCATGTTCGTAAAACAGAAAGAATTTTGTTGTTGTTGTTAGGTACCATCAACTTGTCTCTGACTCATAGCGACCCTATGTACAGCAGAACAAGACAACGCCCGGTCCTGTGCCAACCTCACAATCCCTACTATACCCCAGCACATCACTGCAGCCACTGTGTCAATCCATCCTGTTGAGGGCCTTCCCCTCAATGAATGAATTTTAGGAGATATTTAAAATGTCACTGGGTATAGCAGTAGAAAGGACTTCTGGTGGCGTAGTGCTTAAGGCATTTGACTGCTAAGAAGGAGGTCCATGGTTCAAACCCACTAGACACTCCATGGCAGGAAGACTGGGCACTCTACTTCCATAAAGATTTACAGCCTCAGAAACCCAAAGGGAGTCGCTATGAGTCAGAATCAACTTGATGGCAGTGAGTTTGGTTTTTTGGGGTTTTTTTTGTTTGTCTGTTATACCAGTAGAAAAGTGTGGGCTGGTAGACCATTTCCTACAACCCAATAATGCACAATTTCTCATCACTAATATTTTATTTCTCCCAAAATTAAGAATTAATCCTAAAATGAAATGGGTTGGCTTTACACTACATTATACAAAACAGAGTCTAAAACTGTTCTGTTTGCCTCCAGTAGTATTCAAAGGCAATGTGTTATTATACTTTGAAGTATTCAGACAAATTTGTTTGTCTGTTTTTTAAAATGAAAGGTTTTAGGAATATAAGAACTTACACAGCTACAGTGCCATCTACTGGAGAATGAAGACAATGTTACCTATTCTGAAAAATTTCACTATTTGATCTCAAACACATTCCAGCATTCTATATACACTGCTTTAACTAGTAAGAGACATCTATTCACTTATTCACCAGCACAGCAGGTACAACTGATTCAATTACAAATGTAAATTTACCCTTCAACACCACAGAAGCAAGTATGTAGAAAACTCAGGAATCAACATCTGCTTCAGAAATGACCTAGGATTTTCTTCTCAGTGACCATTTTTCAAAACTCTAACCTCATACTTCCCAAAATAAAAACTCTTTCATTTTTTCTAGATGATTAATTCACCCAGCACCTATTTTGTGCCTATAAACTTAGAGCTGTGGTGATCTTCACAAGCAAAGGGCAACATGCCACTACTACCTCCCCATTCCAGAAGGAACTCATGACAAAAAACAGTAATACCCTTTTCTTCCTCACTAATTAACAGCCTTTTATTTTAAAAATGAAGATCAACAGATACATTCCTATATCTTCTTCAATTTAAAAAGGATTACATGGAAGACAGGGGGACTCACTGAGGTGCTACACGTCTCCAGTAGCGATCAATTCCATTTTTAAAATACAGCACAGCAAGCCACCTTACATTTATATCCAGAGTGTGGTTTGTGAAGATATTCTGAAAATTAAAAAAACAAAACAAAACACTATTAGAATAAACATGCAATAGTTAAAGGTACAATTAATATACTCACAATAAAGCATGGATGGATATTTTTTAATTCAATACCTTCTCTAAAATGTTATCACTATATGCATTTTTATTTTATATATTTTTATTCTATATACATTTTTATTTTATAAATAAACAGCTCAATAATTCATACAAAAAAACCAAACCTGCTCAGCAGTATGCTAACTGCTTAAGCTAAGTAATAAGTACATGGAAAATCATCATAATATTCTACTTTGGAGTATATATGAAAACTTCAATGATGAAAAATTAAACTTGGAAGCAAACCACCTTAACTGTACTTCTACTATATAATCCCTCCCATCATAAAAACATAAGGAATTTGACTACTGAGATTCCAAGATGGCGGACTAGGCAGAAAGACTGCACAGACCCTCCTCAACAAAGAAAAGGGAAACCAATTAACACAGACACAGAAGATAATCCTGGATCCCTGAGCCTTGAAGGGAAGGACATAGAAGTGGACTAAACCCCAAGTAGCAGAACAATTTGCATGAAAATACCAGAAAAGGAGACATATGGAACTGCTGTCTAGCAGCGATCCTGAGCGATCCTGACTGCACAGACAGCTTGGAGATTCCCAAGTGGTGATAGGACCTAAGAATTAACCTAAAAATCAGCCCTGCCAGCCAGAGACTGCACAGAGGACTGCTCTGGTGGCTGTGGAATAAAAGGGGAAGCAGCGGTGAAGAAGAAGATGGGTTGAGCTATAGACTTTTGCCTGTCCAGAGGGTGCCACCAATCTGAATGTTCACAAGCAGCTTGAACATTTTGGATATTTGAAGAGACAGCCCTCTACCAAATTCCATGTGCTTAAGAACAGGTTCAGCTTGCCAGTAACCCCAAGGACACTATGGACCTGCACGACTGAAAAGGTGCAACATTTCTCATTATTCTTATACCCCACACCCACTTGATGAACGGAGGTGCAGCCATCCCCCACTCCCACCCACCATCTGGGACCGCAGGAAATCCATCTCAGTCTGTGTGCTCAGACAGAGCCTGGGTGCCCTGCCCTGCCCTCCACTGATTTTTTTTTTTTTTTCTTTTCCTGGAGTTTCGTTTGCTTGAATTTGTCTGTTTTAAAACTACTATTATTATTAATACTTTTTTCCTTTTTACTATTTTTCTTCACTCTTCCCCTTCCAGGTCCTAGTTT